AAATGGATAAATTTGTCAATAAAATTAAAAAATTTTAATCCGCTAGCAGTTTGGTACAAAAAGTTACATAAACTAGTTTTTTCAATCTGCTAGCGATCTGGACTTTAACCGCTATCCGCTAGTCTTAAACTGCTAAATAAAAATTTTACCAAACACTTTAATTGTAGCGGTTTCAAAATATATAAATTTATCAAACACCTATATTTAGTGATTTAGGTAAAACCACTAACCACTAACCGCTAACCGCTACTCCAAAATCGCTATACCAAACGGGCCCTTACAACAATCTATGCTATAAATTGAGTCCCATCCACTGTCACACAAAATAAATCTCCCTATGAGTGTCTCTATGGTATTCTTCCTACTAATGATCTTCTTAAAATTTTTGGTTGTGCTTGTTTTGTTTTTTTACCTTCTCATGAACATCACAAGTTAGAGTCTTGAGCTCGACTTTATTGTTTTTTGGGGTATGGGATACAACATAGAGGTTATCGTTGTTGGGATCTAATATCACAAAAACTCCGTGTCTCTCGTCATGTTGTTTTTTGGAAACATACTGTGTTTGCTTCTCTTTCTGAATTCAAGGTGTCTCCTTCTCATCAAACTCCTATCTTTACTAATACACCCCTTGAGCTATTTCCTAGTGATGATGCAGGGTTTCCTGATGAGCTTTCAAACAATCAAACTATCATGGCTCTTATTTCAAAAGATGTCTCTTTTGTGGATACTACACCTAGAACAAATGAGATTGAAAATTCACCAATTGCTTCCTCTTCCAGTCATCCTACTTGGGTAAGAAATCCACCTACATATCTTCAAGATTACCATTGTTTGTCTACATTTACCTCTTTACATGAACCTCAGCAAGCTATGAAAGAGGAATTACAGGCTTTGGAAAAGACAAGTACTTTGGACTTGGTTGATCTTCCTACTGATAAAACTCTTGTTGGATGCAAGTGGGTATACAAGATCAAAACTCATTCCGATGGATCTGTGGAGCACTATAAGGCACACCTGATGGCAAAGTGTTTTACACAAGAATATGACATTAACTATGAAGAGACCTTTGCTCCTGTTGCTTATCTGATCACAGTATGCAGTCTACTAGCTATTGTTGCTGTACGTAAATGGAAGTTGTTTTAGATGGATGTGAAGAATGCCTTTCTTAATGGTGATTTACAAAAGGAGGTTTATATGAAACCACCTCCTGGACTTACTCATCCTCCAAATAAGGTATGTTAATTGCGACGAGCCTTATATGGTTTAAAGCAGTCTCCTCAAGCTTGGTTTGCAAAATTCAGTTCTATTGTAAGTGAGTTTAGTTTCACATCTAGTCCACATGATACTACTTTATTTGTCCGTAAATCTGCTCAAGGAATGGTTCTCGTACTCATATATGTTGATGATGTGATTATCACTGGAGATGATGTTTCAGGAATTGATGAGCTTAAGCAGTTTCTTAGCCACATATTTGAGATGAAAGACCTTGGCTCTTTGAGCTATTTTTTTAGGACTTGAAGTTTCATCCTCAGATGATAGCTATCTTTTCTCTCAAGTGAAATATGCATCAGATCTTATATCTAAAGCTTGTCTCATTAATAGCAAGATTGTCTCCACACCTTTTGAACCAAATGTCAAACTCACATCATTAGATGGCTCTCCATTTCCTGACCCTACTTGTTATCGACAGTTGGTTGGGAGTTTGGTTTATCTTACTACGACACGTCCAGACATAGCATATGCAATTCATGTTGTTATTCAATTTATGGCTGCTCCATGT